AACCCCAAAACCCCAAAACCCCATGAATAGCAAATTGATAAAATTAGCGAGAGTTAAAATAGTAATAATATAAATTAAAGGGTTGATTATAAGTTTAAAAATGAATTAAAAGTCTCTAACTCAGTTCACCTGCTTAATTCTTATTAACATTATTGCACTTAATAAATTGTCAGTTTAGGGCAACAATAGCTAGATTTTTTCATAGCAGTATCAAATATAGATTCATGACTCTTGCGGAAATATAGAATTTGACTCCCATTTCATGCATCCAGATATTTATATTTACAATTCTAAGAGTCTCAAGAATGTCACAATTTAGGATTCTATGTTATCAAAAAATGCTCTGACATTTACTTTAAGTGGTTAAGCTAAATAAGAACCACTCGTGATTTAGAATGTGAGAATATGCACAAGAAAATTTATCTTAGATGTATGTACAATGGATGATTCAATTGATAGCATCTACATATCAGTTGATTTAGTTCCAAAGATCTGTTATATTGAGGAAGAAAATTCAGAGGAAGCAGCATAGAATTCAACACTCTAAAAGCTGAGGCAAGACGCAGTTGATTGTGCTTTAAGCGATTACCCTAAATGCCGTAATAATAACATTGATCAGTGCAAATTTATTGATTGCTTCACAACAAATGTAAAAAAACCAAGTGCTGACAAGGACAAAGATTATTTGTTCTCTGCATGTATACCTAAGCAATTGGTGGACGATGATATCACCAATGTCTGCTATTAGGTTGCCCATGGTAACTATTACATTGATTACTTTACGAATGACGACGGAACTGTGCTTGATGACTGGGGTGGAAAGACCATGCATACTTTCTTAATTGCTATCATAATAATCAGTAGTTTCTTATGCTGTATCTGCAGTTTGAGTTGCTTCTATAATTACAGAGTGTTTAGGAGGCATGACCCACCTTTCCCTGTACCAAGATTTTGTCCAGATTGCTTATTTCCTTAGAGAGACTACAGAGAAATGCTAAGACAATAATAAGATTAAGCTTTGGAAGATAGTATGAATGATAACAGTGTAAATGATAATCAGTAATATCAAGTTATTTCAGCATTTAACATAGAAGAACCAACAACTAAAAAAGATAACAATGACGAGGTCCCTGAACCAACAGATACTGGAAATATTAATGCTAAACCTAAATATGACAAATATAAACTACCATAATTAAGTTTTTGAAATATTTTCTGTCATTTCTTCCAATCATTTTTTATTTATTCTTGTTGGGGTTTTGGGGTTTTGGGG